AAAACTAGACCACATTTCCTCCCGGGAAACAGGAACCTTTGCATTTGGGGAAGAATGGGATGAGGAGGAGAGAGGAGAGATGTTTTTAATCTTTTCTACCTCCCCACCCCTCCCCTCAGAAGATCCGTAAGGAAACAAATAGTTTGCTTATAATTAATTCACAACAACGTTAAAAAAATTTCCCTGGCATGTGAGGTTGAAAACAGGAACCTTGCTCTGGTGACCGTGATCTTATCAGATCTACCGTCTACCTGAGCAAACCTACAGAAGCAGGGTCTTTGACTTGCCCAGCCTACGAATTGGGCCTGTTTAGTCTAGAGCAGACAGGGCTAATGGGGACACGATAACAGAGTTCAAACACCTGAAAGGGTGTGAGAAAGAGGACCAAGCTCAATTGTTTTCCAAGTCCACTGAGAGTAGGACAAGAAGTAATTGGCTTTGGTTTGTAGCAGGGGAGATTTAGGTTAGATATTAGGAAAAGCTATCGAACTTGGAACACAATAGTCTAGGTCAGGGGTTCACCGGACAAATATTTTGATGGCCTCAGAGTGCGGCCACCAACTCTTGCTGGTGGCCACTCTCACACTTTTTCCTAAAATACTTAATTAGCTTTAGGAAAAACAAATAAATATGCACATAGACACGTCCAAATCATTGTACTAGATTTACTGCTAGCTAGTAAGTCTGTTGTGAAAAGTGAAATTAACAAATGCACAAGTATCACTTTTCACAGTAGACGTACTCAGCCCTGCCAAACCTGGGGACAAATTAAGCCCTGGATGAGGGGCTGGGGGTGGCAGCGGGGGGCTAGAGTCTGGGACTGGAGGCCAAAGCCCCACTGCCAGCCCACCGCCCCAGGGCGGAAGCCCAAAGCCTGCCACCCCACCACCCCTGGGAAGGTGGGGAACTCACCGGCTGCCGGCTCCTCCAGCGTTGTGCCCCAGGTGTCTCCAGAGGGGGACAGGGCTCAACCCCTGCTGGGGGCCCGAGCAACCAACAACAAGGTGGTGCATTCAGGAGCAACAGGGAGAGGGAGGGGCTGTTACTTCCCCCCCCATAGGTTGTGGCCGCAAGAAAAGCTCCTGGTGGCCACATCTGAGAAACGCTGGTTCTAGATTTACTTACTTCTGCCTCAGCACGGGGGGCTGGACTAGTCCTCTGAGGTCCCTGCCCGCCCCACCTTTCTGTGGGTAACAGACAATGACTAGTCACTCCTCCCAACACAGCGGCAAGGGTAGAGAAGACAAGCAACAGGAAGCCACTTCAGATTAAGGTTCTGGGCTCTTACCTGGAAGGCAGGGAGACCAAGCTTATTGGAGAGTCATTGTTTTCCAAGCCAGGAGATTCTGCAGCATCCGAGAAGCTTCCAGGTGCCTATAAAACAGCCAGCGAATTTCCATCCTGCGCACCATTGGAGCTCAATAGACACACAGCAGAGCAGGGGTCACCTTACTACCGGTCTTCTATGCTGCTGGGACAATGCCTTCAGCTGACTCCGGGCACTTCACAAAAGCATTGACACGAGATAAGGATTGGAGTGAAAGGGAAGCTGCAGAACTGCTGAGCTCCAGAAAGGAGCCTCCAGCCAGCACAAGGAGGATTTGGGAGCACACTGGGTGGGGATGGGAGCTGGTGCCCCCGCCAAGACACCAATGCAGCTACAGCTAGCCCTGGGGACCGGGCAAAGAGGGCCTTGTGATCCATCTCCGAACGCATGCGCCGAGCCCAGCACAACTGGGTTCCTAGCCAGTCATTGCCCATTCAGCATAGCAAGTGAAGGTTCAGTTCTCATGCTGGGGGTGTGGGGGTACCGGGTCCTGCTTACCTGATGGCACGGAGACCTGGGGGAACACGGGGACCCCACAGAGGTTAGTGGAATCTTCTTCAGCACCAACGTCACCTGGTTTGGCTTTTCGAGTATTTTCTTCACTAGATTCATTCGAGTCCAACCCACCTACGCACGGGATTAGCAGATCAGTGCTCATCGCCAGCACAGGCCGAATCGCACTGAATGGGTTGTTTGAAACAGGCAACTCCGCAGGTCATTCTACTCTGTTACACGGGCTCTGTCAGCTGGCAAGGCCACAAGCACCACTACCACAGGATTTCAGAAAGGGGATGTTTCTCTCCCTGGGCACCTGGTACAATCGATGGTCAGGGTTTAGACACCTGCCTTGATTACAGCTCCATGGTGCGCAAGGGAATCTATAGTCACCAGAACCACGATTCGGCAACCGCGCATTTCACAAGACATCCAGCTGGCCATCAGCAATCCCACCATGCCTCCTTTTACTTACTGCTACCGCCCAGTAACCAGGGATTCCAAACAACGCTACCAACCAGTTAAACACCTGGGCATCAATGCAGTTTCGTAAGCTAGTCATCCACACCCTTCTCGTTTCACTGTCCATTTCTGCAGCACCACCGGCCAGGCAGAGACACATTCAGCTAATAGCCTGCAGCCAGCCAGCTGGCCATCCTCCCTGTCAAAGGGTCGGCAGGATACTCACACCTTCTTGTCAACTGTTTGAAATGGGCCATCTTGATTATCACTACAAATTTTTTTTCTTCTGCTGATAATAGCCCACCTTAATCAATTAATCTCATTAGAGTTAGTATGGCAACACCTATTTTTTCATGTTCTCGGTGTATGTATATATCTTCCTACTGTATTTTCCACTGCACGCATCTGATGAAGTGGGCTTTAGCCCATGAAAGCTTATGCTCAAATAAATGTGTTAGTCGCTAAGGTGCCACAAGTCCTCCTCGATCTTTTTGCTGATACAGACTAACACGGCTACCACTCTGAAAGCTGTCCCCAGGACAACTGGTTTTCAGTGGAACAATTTTTACACTAAGTATCGGATTTCTGTGGAAATTGGTTTTATTGTTGCTGCAAACCTGAATGCCCATAAAGAGTTCAGGTTTTGTTCAAATACTGAAACATTTCATTTTGGATAGACCTTCGTGGTGCCTCATGGGAGTTGTAGTCCAGCTTCTTCATCTCCCTGTTCTCCTCTATAAACTGGGCTTTCCAGTCAGACTACATATCCCATGCTGCATCACACCCAGGGACGCTCATCATGCACCATCTGCTCTCCCCAAGAGGTGAGACTGGTGCATCATGGGAGCTACAGTCCAGCCAGGGAGCCCAGTTTGGGTGCTCATGCTCCCATTCTCCCCTAACGACAACTCCCAGGAGGTACCGCAGCACCTTTGCTGAACCCAGTTATTTCAGGTTTTGATTTTTTGCTGAAAAGTCAACCTTTCTTCCCACAGGAAAAGACCCATTTTCCGACCAGCTCGGGCAAACAGTCGCCCACCTAACCAGATGCTTCACTGTCAAGTGGAGAGAATGATTCTGACCCCACTTGGGTGGGCAGTCGAGATTTTATGAGGCTAAATTAACTGATGGTTGTAAGCGCGTGGAGAGCTCAGCCAAGTGCTGGTGTTTGCCTCTCCCAGGACAGAGCCTGAAACCCTCCTTTCCTCCCCCTCTCTTCTGGTTTCAGTCTGTCGAGCATGTGGTTCGACAGAGAGTCAGGGCAGAAACACCCGGGTTCCTTACAGCGATTCTACCTGTTTCCTGGGCGTGCCCATGCGCTTGTGTTTAGAAAGGGGGGTGAGGGGGTGGAAGCCAGGCTTTGGTGGCGTTTGCTTCTCCTCCATGCAGGATGTGAGTCAAAGAGCAAAGAGGGGACGGAGGAAAGAAAAAAAGAGCTAGCACCAGGCTTTCTAATAAAGGAAACTAGCCATGCTAGCATCCCAGCGGCATCTGGGTCATACAGACTCCTACAGCCAAGAGGGTCCAGAGCGATTAAGTGGGAACCAGCCAGTCTTAGAAACAGGAGTAGGGATACGTTGCATTGTCATCCCAGGACCTCAGAGCCCTATATAAAGGGGGAGCCAGCATGATCCCCTTGTCAGGAGGGGGTGTGCGAGGCCCAGAGTCGAAGTGAGTTTTAGCCGGATCCCTTCAGGGCGGGGATCACACCTTCTGTTGGGAAAGAGCCTCGCACGTGGGGAACCCCACCAGACCCAGAGAGAACGAAAGTGACTTGCCAAAGGTGACACAGCGAGTCAGGACTAGAACCCAAAGCCCCCACTCTAACCAGAGGCCATGCCGCACCCTCTACCGAGTGTGACGTTCTTCCCCAGGGCAGACCATACACATCAGCTATGATCTCAGCTACATTCAGAAGCCCCCTTCCCTGGTAGGATTTTGGCTGTCCCAAAAGACCAGCATGCTAATGGGAGCGAGGACAGGGCCATACTTACCACAACCTGCCCGTTGACTTGAACGATCTCATCCCCCGGCAGGATCTGGCTGCAGTGGTCAGCTGGAGACTAGGAGGAGAGGCAAGGAAAAGACCGAGCGGTGTCAGAACTGTGCTTGCTGGGAAACAGAGAGGCAGCAGTGCAAGTGGCTTGAGCCTAATCAGAGTTAAGCAGCTCTCAGGCTGATGTAAGTCAGAGGGGCTCAGGAAAGGGGGATTAACCATTAACTTGCAGGCCTGATCTTTTGGGTGATTCCTGTTGGATCACAGGCACGAGGGCAGGAGGAGACAACGGAACCAAGGCGCCAGCTGAAGCCTTGGCCAAGGTTAGTGTGACACACGGCCACAAGTCAGCGGAGTTGGAAGGACTCAGCCAAGTCCTGTCCAGTGCAGCCCGTGTCCTAGAGCTGGTTCAGGAAGAGGGTTTAGCACCTTAACAAGCCCACGGGGTTCTGATACCCAAACTAGATTTTGCTCATCATGGGCCAGCATAGGACGGTTTAAGAAGGGGACTACGTTGGGACACCAGTTCTGAGCCGTCTCCCTGCACCTGCAGGCTGGAAAGACCAAATCAGAAGCCATCTCCCCTTCCCCCAAATCTCTCACCTCAGCGGTGGTTCCCGCTATGAAGTGGAGGCAGGAGTTGGTGGATTTGATCTCGATGCCCTGCAGAGAGGGACAGACAGAGTTTGGAAACGTCAAAGGAGTCCCCAGCGTGAGCCAGAGGCAGAGGCGAGGATTGTGGTGGAGAAGCCAACTCACCAGACTGTCCTCTGGCTCGGTGGGCACAAGGTCCACGCTCTCCAAGATGGCGGTCTGGTTCAGCAGGGCTGCCGGGCTGCAGCTCGAGATGTTCTCACAGATCCCCGCGAGGTGCCTGCACTGAAGGACAGCAGGAGAGACTCATTCCGCCAAGTCCTCACGGCGTCTACAGAAGGGCAGCAGCGACCTCAGGCAAACCCCAATGTGTGTTCTTCTGCACTGAATCCACCCACCCACCCACCCACCGTAGTACTTACAATCAGCAGGATCTGGTTCTCTCTCTCAGACACGCTGCAGTCCTAGAAGAACAAGAGACACGCGATAAATTAGGCTGATCCAGCTTTACATGGATGGGGGACTCACGTAACACAGCCCCAGGTCTTGCAGTAGTGGTGCTGGTGGCTCCTCTCCCCATGCCCCCGCCCTGTGCTAGAGGGTGCCGTGCCACCGGCCTCCAGGTGAGACGTAAGGTTGAGGCTGTGCAGTCACGAAAGACTCCTCAGCACTGGTTTTTAAGCGCAGTAGCAGGATTAACCCCAGCGCCCTGGCCAGCTTCCAGAGCAACTCCTCCAGCTGTCTCCAATGGAGACGCCATTCTTCACTCCTTCCCGTCAGCGCCGCCTGGCTCCTCCCAGAGAGCGGCTGCATGTGGCAGGGAAGCCGGTGCTTGGGGGAGGGAAGGCTTGGCCGATCACATCTAGGCCTAGAGAGCACATTGGGATCCTGGAGGCCAGGCGCCGTGGAGAGGCACTATCACCCCTTCCCCTACAGACAGGGGGATTGGGCCCTGCAGGTCGGCTGATGGTGCTCATGCTCCCAGAGACGGGTACTCTGCCAGAGCACAACTGTCCCAGGCAGCACATGACTCCCCGACACAGTCAGTCTGGGGAGTCACTGAGCCCTCACACGACCCCGTACAGCAATGGAGAAAGAATCCAGGAGCAGAGGAGCTGGCAGTGGTGTCGGAGGGACTCCTCGCTCGATGGACAGACCTTTGAGAGACGACTTTCGGCTTCCAGGGGCTTTGGATGAGGCCCCAACTCCAGCCCCTTCTTGTGAATTTCACTAGAAAATCAGTGACTCTGACAAGAGGAGAATGCCGGGGGACGGGAGTGGGGAAAACACCCTGGGCATGGGAAATAAGCCAGGCGGCACACACGGCTAGAATGTGGGGCAGCCGCTGGGTTAGGCACACAGGGGTATCTGTCCACAGGGCAGTCGGTGTTTGGAAGGCTCTGCCCCCTCCCCAAGGGAGAAGAATCCATTGTTATGGGATGGGGGACGGGGGTAATGGTCGAGAGATGCCTTACTGAGGCCATTCTTGCTCACACACACAGAGTTACACCAATCTCCGGAGCTGGGATCAGAAAGGAATCGCCCCCCAAGGCACAATGGCAGGAACCTCTCTGCTTAGCATGGCAGAGGAAGGGGCGAACCAGCACAGCCTCGGCATTGAGCTCCCTTCTGTTGCAGGGGTGGCACTGGTGGATCGTGGCTCTACTTTTAGGTTATTAGTAGGATCAGTTTCTTTCTGCCCCACAGCCCTAACCCCCCCCCCAGACCCTGGCCCCCCAGGCCCTGTCCCCCAGCCCTCTACCCCCTCACCTGCCCCCGCGTCCCCAGACCCTGTCCCCAAGAGAGCCACCAGTTTTTCTGCCGCCCTAGGCAGCAGAAGGTCCCGCCCCGAAATGCTGCCCCAACAGAGGCGGCGGAAGGTCCCACCCCCAAAATACCACTGCGGTCGCCGCCCCCCAAATTGTAGCGCCCTAAGTGACCACCTAGGTCGCCTAATTGGTTGCACCGGCCCTGCCTATCCCCTGGCTCTCCACCCCCTCTCCCCAGACCCTGTCCCCTGGCTCTCCACCCCCACCTCCCCAGACCCTGTCCCCCAGCCCTCCACCCCCTCTCCTGGCCCTGCTCCCCCAGACTTTGTCCCCCGGCCCCACTCCTCCAGACCTTGTCCCCCGGCCTTCCGCCCCCTCTCCTGCCCCTGCTCCCCAGACCCTGTCCCCCGGCCCTCCGCCCCCACTCCTGCCCCCGCTCCCCCAGACCCTGTCCCCCAGCCCTCTGCCTGCCCCTGCCCCCCATTTACAAACCATTAAGGTTTCCCTGAGCCTCCTTTCCCATCTCTCTCCATGTCACAGTCTCCCCTCCCCCACCTCACAGCTACCCTTCCCTTCCTCGTCTCCAAAGCCGGAGAAGCCTCCCCCAGAGCCCATTCCAGACACGCCCTCTCCTGCCGCATTCCCCCCTGAGCAGGGCAGGATCTTCGGGGAATGATTAGCTCCCAGTACCTGTGGCTCAGCCGAGCAGCCTCTCCCGAATCTCTGGCTCAGCCCGTTAGTCTCTCTCCTCCCTTTCGCTCAGCTGAGTCTCATGGACAACTGAGCTCCCCCCAGCCCGGAACCTGATCCCAAAGGGTGAATCACAGGGTTATATAAAGAACAGTTCCCCACCCCCCCTTTGATGTTGTTTATCTCCTGGTCCCTTCCCTGCTCACACTCTGGTCATTTTCTCTTTCCCTTCCCCTCTTTGCAGCTGACTGAACTGTGCCAAGCCAAGGGTCCGCAGATGCACCCATCCATGGCTCATCTCCTACTGCCCTTGTCCCCCTGGGCAGTACCTCAGAGGCACCGAGCCTTCCCCGGGCAGCTCAGGTACACGCACCCCTTCGGCCAGCTTTGAATCACTGCCATAACCTCTCTGTAAAGCGAGGCCGTTCCCGAGATAGACACCGACGCGGGCTCAGGTGACCAGATCACATACACCCCAGGCAAAGAACCGTCTCTCCACTTCCAGACCTCTCTCCAGGAAGCCTTCACAGCGTGCTTGCAACACTAAAACCTACAGTCCCTCCCTGACCCTTCCTTGATGGGCTCCCCAGGTTCCCCATGGACTTGCCCCTAAATTGGGTTCTTGAAGGCAAGGCGTATGCCTAGGATTTGAACTAGCAGCACCGGTACCTCTTGCTGGTAACCTTCTACTCTAGCTGGAGAGCCCTGCTGGGGTCCAAGGAGTTGTTAGAGGAGTCAGAACATACTTGGGACACCATTGGGCCCTGTGGACTACAAAGGCATTGCTGGCTAGAAGGCATGCCGAGACCCGAGTCTGCTTTTACCCTCTTGCAACCTGTGAATCCAAGATGAAGGAGCACTGCAGAAGACTAGCGAACAGAGGAGAACTGGAGGATGAAGGTAGTTAACAGCACTCCTTCCCATGACCCAAATACCACCCCTCCCCTCCAGCAGCGACTTGCTTATAGACATGACTCTAGTGGTTAGAGCAGGAGACTAGGAGCCAGGATTCAGGCATTTTAGCCCTGACACATTGTGCAAGTCAGTTCATCTCTGTGCCTCAGTTTCCCCATATATACATGTGGGTGACCCTGACTTATTTAATAGGGCTTCATTCGTGTTTGTAAAGCACTTTGAGAACTGTAGGGAAAAGGTGCAATTGAAAGGCAGGGTATCTGTTCCATCAGCTGACAGTTTATTATCTCCAGTCAGCTTCCTTCTTTTAAACAGTCTCCATCCTTCCACCAATATCCATTCATCTAACTCAGCTACCCGCTAACCCATCCCTGCCTGAGGGGACAGTGCCCCGCGTCTGATAAAAACACTTTGGAAGGACAAATGGTCTGCCTGTGAAATGAACCATATTGCACGGATACAAATCATAATGCAGAAGGATATGGTTGGGTTCCTCTATAAGCGACAAGCTCCAAATTGGACATTGGGCTAGTCTATCAATACACTCAGCTTTATCCCTGAAAAATATACTGTAGAACCAGTGCAAGGTTCACTTGTCTGTTCAGAAGTGGCCCAAGATTAGATGTATGGACACACTAAGAGCAACAGGAAGGTCTCCAGTCTAGATTTAAATTGTAATGAAAACACACATTATTAAACAACAACATCTGCCTGAAGCATTAGTAACAAAACACTGCAGCAGGGGACTGCCCCAAAATGCAACTGACTTTGAAACAAACGTGAAACAGACACGAGCAATTTTCATTCTCTGAGCTGAGGGAGATGCACAAGCAAAGAGCGACAAATTAGAGTATGGGAAAGAAAAGCTTTAAAATCCAAGGGGCTAATAACACAGTTTTAACACAATGGTTAAATTGACAGCGGCCAGGATATTTGCTGGTCAATCAGGGTGCCGAGACTACGAGAAAAATGTTTTGAATTGAAATAAGAACAAATAAATAGATTCGCCAGTCCTGCTAGGAGCTCACACTCTCCTGGGATATGGGGGTATTCATCAGCCAAGGAGGAACATTCTGGATGGAGATCCTGATGAAGTTTTGGGAAACATCTCCCTGATTGTTTGCTAGTGAGAAAAAAGCACGTGTGGCATGTGAGTGTCGGTCAGTCCTTACATTGTGCCCATCACCATGTATCTGGACAGCCCTTCTTTTCTGCCCCTCCTACTCTCACTTCCTAGGTCATGAGACACCCCGGCATGACATGAGTACTGAAGAGACGTCGCCCTTATCTGCACATCTCAGGGGTAACACACAAACACACCAACCCTGCCACAGTCCGGCTTTGGTTTCTTGGGATTTTTAAAACCCTCGTTACTGACCTTCTGTAGGATCTGGGCCAGCTCTCCGCAGAGCGAGACAATGTCCCGGCTGGCTGAGTAATCATTCAAGTGAGAGAAGAGATACCTGTGAGGTGCGGGAGTGAGACAGTCGTCAGGTCAAAGGAAGGCAGGAAAGGAGAGGGCCCAATGAGCCTCAAGTTAATCGAGGCACCGTCCTCCCGTGGGCCAGGGGCTTAACACAAGTGAGGAAGCTTCCAGGGTTTTATGGTGCTTTCTGAAGGGGTCCCAATTGACCACAGAGCTAATCGCCTGCAGTGGGCAGCTGCCGGGCACTCAGTGGCCTGCGTGGAACAAGGTGGGAGTCTCAATCTTGTCCACACCCCATAGAGCCACCTCAGCAAAGGAGTGAGCAAGCTGTGGAGACGCAACTCCCCTCTGGCCGCAAGAGGGGGTCCCTGCAGGGCAGAGGCACATGAGCAGGGGATCCTTGTCCAGTCAATGCCCATGCTGTGCCCGTTCTCTGCACAGAAGGCTCCGGGCTGTCATGCTGCTGTTTTCACCATCACCAAGATGAGTGTGGTCACAGCACCGCCCTCCTGTCACCAGTCACTGAGTGGAGCCTCGTCCCTCTGGGCTAACAGACCATCCTCCTCTGGCTAGGGAGACTGGCTGCCTTGCATCCAGTCTGGGCAGCACTGGTCTGGCGTCCCTTTCCACCTCTGTAAAAAGTGTGTGCGCAAACCCCAGAGACACAGAAAGCCTGTAGTTTGCGCCCTGTGCCATTCGGCGATCCCCTTCCTCATCATGTGGGATCCCTCCTTACATGGCCCTGGCCTTCCAGCCTCCCCAGGTGCTTTCCCTGGCCTCTGCAGACTGGGGGAGCAAGTACCTGTTGAGCCAGGAGAAGAGCCCCTTGGCCGCCGTGATCAGCTCAGCGATGCAGGCCAGGAGGTCCGGGGAGGGCGTCTCGATGGCCTCTCCATCATACGCGGTCACCTTCCTGCGGCTCAGGATGAGGGTCTGGGTGGTCCGAGCGACTTGCTGCAGCTTCTCCGTCAGTGTCCCCAGGCTGGTGGTCTCCAGCTCGTAGTTCTGGAGAACAATCCAAACTAGCTCAGCAGAGGAGAGAGGCGCCAGCCCTGGAGCGGCTCAGAACGAAGGCTGTGGATGGCAGATCTCCCCCCCCCAACTCTGCACTGCTCCCTGAAACTGCTTGGGGGGGGGCAGGATCCCCGACCCAACCATCCCCTGAATCCCAGAGCTCCCTCCATCTGGGAAGCAAGACCGCAGGTCAGACACCGGGAGGGAACCCTCACGCCGTCGCTCACCGCAGGCGGTGCTGGAGATCGGGAGAGGGCCTCGCTCCAGCCGCACAGCCGCTCACTCACCAGCGCGCACAGCTGCTCCACGGCTTCCAGAACGAGCTCCTGATGGCCAACCCGCCTCAGGCCCAGTTCCTCCAAGCGCCGGTAGGACAACTGCAGCAAATCGTTCCCGGTCAGGGACCACGTCTCAAAGGGATACTCCTGCAGCGCCTTGTCCAGGCCTGAAAGGGGCAAACGCAGCTGCTCCCAGATCGCCCATGTCCAGACCTCTGCCTGGATTCCCCCTCTGCTGACAGCTGCCAGGCCTTCCTGTCCTCTCGCCGCCACCTGGGCTTAAGCCCTGAAGCATGACTTTTAACAGCCCTTCCAGAATAGCATTAACTCGTCTAACTCCAGACAGTTCTTGTTATCCACCAAATGCATCCAAACCCCTTGGGAGTCTTGCTGAGGTTTTGGCCTCAGACGCATCCTGTGGCAAGGAGTTCCACCGTCTAGCTACGTGCTGTGTGAAAAAATATTTCCTTGCGTCGGTTTTGAGTTTGCCCCCTTTCTGTTTCACTGATTGGCCCCTTGTCCTCGTGTGAGGAGACTGGGAGAACAGAACCTCTGTTCTACCCTCTCTCTGATGTACCTTCTCCCCCATCCCACCAAGTGTGTAACACCAGTTACCTTCCCTGGCTGCCAGATCTGCTTCCTCCCTACTGGCAGGTCCCCATGGGGCTGCATATCCACCCCGCCAGTATGTGCGCCTCCCTGCATTGGGCTGTATATCCTCCCCCAGGAATGTCTCTCCTCCCCCAGGGCAGGGATCCGGGCCGTGCCCAGCCATGCCATGCCAGCAGGAGTGGAACCCGCCTCTGCCAGAGCCCCCAGAAGGTTTCAGTTGCTCCTGCTCCCAGCAGCACTTGCACAGCTCCTCCTGCCAGCGCAGACTCTGCCCTGGGAGCGGGCAGCCGCCTGCCTGCCCGAGGGGCTGGAGTGCACCCCCTGGCCATAGGTGCTGGAACTAGGGGTGCTACCACACCCCCTGGCTTGAAATGGTTTCCATCATACACACGGGTTACGTTACAGTTTGGTTCAATGACTCTCAGCACTCCCCCCATACAAACTTTGCCAGCCCTGGACCCGCCACCCTGCCCCACTCACCTCTCAGCCACTGTGCCACCTGCACAGGGCCCCAGGCGCCGATGGGCTCCATGCCCAGCTCTGCTCCCCAGCTGGGACTTCCCTGTTCCCGGAAAGTCTGTCCAGGGGCAGGCCTCCCGGACACACCTGAGCTGAGGCAGCCCCACCAGGTAACTCCCAGCCGGCTCTGGGGTTGGTGCAGCTGCCTGTCGCTCAGCAAGAGAGGCCCGCCCCCTCTGGAGGACCCTTGCTCCCCTCCCCACGGGGAATTCCAAACTCTTAGCAACCCAGCTCAGAGCTCTTTCCAGCCTCCAACCCCCCAGTCTCACTGATTCAACAGGCTTACACACCCAGTTCCCCCAGGCTGTCTCCTGACTCTCTTAAAGGCACAGACCCACAGTAGGTTGTTTACCTCAGCCCTGGCCACTGAGGGAGTGTTCCCTAGTGGGCAGAGGGCAGGACTGGGTGCTAGGAGCGCCAAGTGCCATCAGATTCCACATCTGATCATGGGCGAGTCACTAACACAACACCTGCTATCTCGGCTGACATGCCCGGCACGGAAAGGAGGACTTGCAGAGCTAAAAGCAGAAGCGACTACAATTTGAGCTAAAGAAGCAAGGTCCCTGAGCAGGGGCTGTCACAGGTAGCCTCTGCAGCTCCGGGATCTGTAACACACGCTCACCATTGACATTCCGTGCCTCAGTTTCCCCACCTGTAAAATGAGAATAAGTACGACTGGCCTACCAGCTCATCGCAGGGGAATCATGAGAGTTTAAGTCTGTAAAGTGCTTTGAGATCCTTACATGGACTGTGTTGTAAAAGTACAAAGTATTATTACTAACAGAGTGTGGCTAAACATCGCATCCTCACTCTAAATATTAAAGCAAACACCCGTCCTTGCTGACTGCATATCCGGGAGCGTGTCCTACTGGTTCACGCAGAGGCTGGCAATCAGAAACTCCTGGATTCTATACCCAGCCACTGTCTCAGTGCGTGACCACGGGCACGTCACTTAGCCTCAGCTTCCCTCTCTCTAAAATGGATTCACCTTGGTAAATACTTGGAGATCACAGAATATTAGAAATGTAGGACTGGAAGGGTCCTCGACTGGTCATCTTGTCCTATCCCCTGCACTGAAGCAGGACTAAGTATCACCTAGACCAGTGGTTCTTAACCTTTACTGCAGCCTGCACCCCTTTGGTTCTCAAAATATGTTCTCGCACCCCTTAAACCTAGATATATTTTTGTTTGTATATTACAGTAATCGTTAAAAAATGTATAATGTTAATAAATACATAGGTTTGATTAAACAAAGTAGTTGTACTTACGTGCCTGTGCTAAATTGGTGTTTTCGATGATTTACCTTCTAAAAAAATCTGGCCTGTCTTGCACCCCCAGAAAGGGCATCTCGCACCCCAGGCGAAGAACCCCTGACCTAGACCATCCCTGACAAGTGTTGTCTAACCCAGCGATACTCAGACTGAAGCTCACAAGCTGCAAGTGGCTCTTTAATGTGTCTCCTGCGGCTCTTTGCAGCATATGATATTAAAACACCGTGTGATTGAATTATTAACCAATCTAAGTTCTTAACCAATCAGAATGCTTTTACTATGTTATTAACCAATTGTAGGTGATAAAATAATAATACTGGGTCTGTCATTTTGCTGTGAGAATCATATATATATATATATATATATATATACACCTCTACCCCGATATAATGCGACCCGATATAACACGAATTCAGATATAACGCGGAAAAGCAGCGCTCCAGGGGGGCGGGGCTGCGCGCTCCGGCGCATCAAAGCAAGTTCGATATAACGCGGTTTCACCTATAACGCGGTAAGATTTTTTTGGCTCCCGAGGACAGTGTTATATCGGGGTAGAGGTGTAGTAAATGAAACAATGAATTCACACCACTGTGACTCTGAGGTCTGATTATCACTGGTCTAACCTGTTCTTAAAAACCTCCAGTGACAGAGATTCCACAACCTCCCTAGCTAATTTGTGCCAGCGCTTAACTACCCTGTCAGTAAAGAAGTTTTTCCTACTGTCCAACCTAAACCTCCCTTGCTGTAATTCAAGCCCATTTTTTCTTGGCCTGTCCTCAGTAGATAAGGAGAAAAATTCATCACCCTCCTCTTTATAACAATCTTTTACATACAGGGTGACTGTTATGTCCTCCCTCAGTCTTCTCTTCTCCAGACTTTTGTCAATATTTCCATGGAGATCATGTTTTCTAGACCTTTCGTCATTTTTGTTGCTCTCCTCTGCACTTTCTCCAATTTGTGGAGGGCGGTGCCCAGACCAGGACACCGTACTCCAGTTGAGGCCTTATCAGCCTGGAGTAGAGCGGAAGCATTACTTCTCGTATCTTGCTTACAACACTCCTGCTCATACAGCCCGGAATGATGTTTGCTTTTTTTGCAACAGTGTTACAGTGTTGACTCATATTTAGTCTGTGATCCACTATAATCTCCAGACCCTTTTCTGCAGTACTCCTCCCTAGACAGTCATTTCCCAGTTTGTATTTGTGCAATTGATTACGCCGTCCCAAGGGGAGTACTTTGCATTTGTCCTTATTGAATTTCAGCCTGTTTATTTCAGACCATTTCTCCAATTTGTCAAGATCATCAAAACACCTGTCACAAGAGTTAGCAGTGCACATCCCAGATCGTAACAGACAGGGCCAGCTCCAGGCACCAGCCCAGCAAGCAGGTACTTGGGGCGGCCAAGGGAGAGGGGCGGCACATCCGGCTCTTCGGCCGCAATTCGGTGGCGGGTCCCGCAGTCCCTCTTGGAGCGAAGGACCAGCCGCCAAATTGCTGCTGAAGAGGCGGCGGTAGAGCTGCCGCCGAAGTGCCGCAGATCGCGATCGCGGCTTTTTTCGTATCTGCTTGGAAAGTGTTTTGCAATCCTAGTGAAGCATGACAGCGGAGGACAAAGTAAATGTTAAAGCCACTCTCCAGCTGAAGCACTGGGAAAGACCTGACTCATTTCTGTGGCCATTGTTTGGTTCTGTGGAAGCAGCGCCCCCCGGAGTCCAATTCTCCTAATTGCATTGGGAGTTCCAATTGAAACTGGAGTTCCAACATGGAGCCGAGTGGTGTCTAGCCTCCCCTCTGCAGCACAGGTTCGAAGGACTGACGTGTTTCCTCTTTCCTAGTAACCTGGATGCAGCGCATTCCCCCCCACACCCTCCTCGGCAGTGCACGTAGCCGCCACCTTAATCACCCCTCCCCAGATCCTCACTGGGTTCCTTGCTCTACAGTCCCCTCGGAGGCAGGAACTCCGCTGAGGAAAGAGGCCTGTTCTGAGCATAGGACTGGGTGCCAGGAACGCTAATCCCTGGTCTGACAATGATTTCCTCTTTGACCTTGGGAAAATCACTCACCCGCTCCGTGCCTCAGTTTCCCCCTCTATAAATAGAGATAATACTTGCCTATTTCCCAGGCGTACAGGCTTCTTCCATGTTAGGCCTGGCTGTGCCAGTCAATGACAGTCCCTAGATAATGTCCGCAAAATACTCAACTCTGTTCTCCAGCGCCTCCCCCGCCCCCACAGTACAAGAACACCCCTCCCCCGTTCAGTCTTGTCAAGCCCTCTCCCACATGCACACACCCGCCCAGTGAGTTCCCTGCCCCCCAGGACTGCCTCACCCCCCACCCACTCACTCTGCTCTTTGCCCTGGCGGTCTGCAGGGGGAAGGGGGGAGGGGCGGAAGCTTTTCCCCTTAGCAGCTCCACAGCCCCGTTCAGGGCTCTGCAGGCCAGCTCGGGAGTCCCACAGAGGAAGGTAGAGTTGTCCACTTTTTCTGTTCTTTTACCCTTCGGAAAACATTGCTGCTCTGCTGAACGAAGGGGCAGGTCAGCTTGCAAGATGCGCCAACAGAGATGCACCTGACCCTGCAAAGCCTCTCCCAGGCAAGTCGACCTTCCTCCCCTGAGCAGGCCCCACTGAAGCCAGCTCAGCTCCCCAAAGGTTTTGCAGGATCCGGCTGTTGCAGCCAGGGCCAGTCACTGACGGGATCCAGGCTGGAAGAGCCACATGACTCCTCTGGGAAGTCATCTACAGACCCCTTGAGCACTCACCCAGCAGTATCTTCTCTCCTGTGCGGTTGGTGGTGCTGCAGATACTGGTCACGCTGCAGGGCAGAGCACAGACTGTTTGTAGCATGCACGTGGGGTGAGATCTGCAGGGGGAGGAGGAAAAGTTTGGTTGTAGTCAGGCGAGGAACGGAGGAGGGGGTGAAATCGCTGTAAATACCCTCTTGTGGTGTGGTGGGGGTTCCTCATGAGTAGAGGGCATCAGTTCCCCAGAACAGAAGGATGGTCTTATAGGTTAGGCCCTGGGCTTGGATTCCGGTTCCCAGCTCTGCCACAGACTCCCCTGCATGACCTTGTCACCTCATCCCTCCATGTCTCGGTTCCCCACCTGTCAAATGGGGCTCACAACACTTTCTTCTGCCCTTTGTCTATTTCAATGGCAAGCTCTTCGGAGCAGGACTATCTCTTCCTCCAGGTCGTAGCACAAACAAGCCCTGATCTTGGCCGAGGCTGTTAGGCTCCACTAATACAAACCATGGCAAAGGGAGCCCATTTCACAGATGCTCTAGAACTGCGGCTCTTAGTCCCTTAGGGCCAGACCTTTACGCACCTAAATACCTTTAACAATCTAGCTCCCTAGGAACTAGCCCTGGGATGGAAAACCCCGACATCCCATCCGTACAGGGCATCACACCCTAGGAGCCTCCTGAGGACATGCCGACAGGCGATTTGCTTTCAGCCGCTTTAGCTGACACATTCCTTGCCTTGTTATGGGGAGACACCCGAATTGCTCGCCATTCTGACTCCAGCAAGGAGCTTTACCCCACCCACTCCACTGCAGGCTGGGAGCCCTGTCTGACAACTGGCCTAGAACAATTGTTCTGAGCTCAGGTTTTGCATCCGTAGGTGCTTTATTCTGCTTTTGTAAATACAAAGGGAGGATCAGGCAGGGATAGAAGGGGCTGGGCGTCTGGCTGATTGTCCAGCTCCACACTCCAGTATCTGCAGGGGCGTTTTCCAAACCTTTCTAATCAGAGAGGAGGCTTTGGCTTTATTCTTTAGGTTTCTCTTCAGCGTAGCAGCAGCTAAAGCGTTAGCCTGGGACTCCAGAGAGGTGAGTTCTATGCCGAGTTCTGCTGCTGGGTGAGTTTGGGCATCTTTCTGTGCCTCAATTTCCCCATCTGTAAAATGGGGCTAATTACACTGGCCTCCTTTGATGAGAAGTTCCCCTCAAGTGAAGGTAATGCTGGTGGAAGGTGCAGTACGGACAGGGACGGGTCGCTGATATTGCCTATGCTTGATTGCACTTAAACCTTATATCAGCATAGCTCTGTCAGCCAGGGGGAGTAAAACCCATACTCCTGACCAACGTAGCTAAAAACCCCAGTGTAGACGCTGCTGTGTCCATGGAAGAGGGCTTTCGGCGCCACAGCTAAGGGCTTTCGGGGAGGTGGTGTCGTCCCTACACCAGCAAAAACCTCCTTCTGTCAGTGCAAGCTGAGTCTATGCTTTGCTAGGGGGCTATGCCGGCAGACATAGCCTATACAGAGCATGGGCACCAGCTTCTCCCACCCTGCCCTCTGGAGTGCCCTGGGCCTGCTCAGGAGCGCCCCCTCAGGCGGTGAGAGGGGAGTTCAGTCAGTCCTTGGCCTTTCTGCTGCCCGGACCCACGGGGAGCCTCTAGCGCCAGGGGTGGTTGTGATTTTTGTGACGCAAACACCTGCAGAGCGCTCTCTGCGAGGAAGGCTCACGGCACTACCATGTGTGCTCTGCAGATCGAGTGACTCGCCCACGGTCACACAGGAAGTCTGTGTCTGAGCTGGGAAGTAGGCGGGGCCCCGTCTGGTGTCCAGTCCATTAGACCACACTTCCTTCCACCCACCCCGGCTCCTACTGTCCTCCTCACCCTTGCCCAGAGCCCTTGGAGCTGTTTGATGGTCTCTCCTTCACGCCCCATGTTCTTTCAATGCTGGGATGCTGACTGCTCCTCTCTCGGAAGCCATCCCCCCATTGGAAGGACGCAGCTGTCATGGGATGGACGAGGAATTCAGTCTTCAGCTGCTTCCCTCTTCGCTGACAAAGGGGAATTCATTCTTGATGCTCATCCAGTTCTGGACACGCACCTCCCCCAACACATCACCAATGAGCTCTCACCTTGACCTGGAGGCTCCATCCTCTCCTGGGCTGGAGGGGAAGATGCTCTCTCCACCTTCCTTCAATCCGGGGCTTCCATACACAGCTCCTCCTGCCCTGCAGCAATTGTCTGCCCCTCTTCCCCAGGGAGCGAGGCCGGATTATCAGCATCTGCCACTGTGCTTCTGGATTTCCCAGGCGGGCTCAGATTAAGGCTGCTGCTGTCATGAATTTGACCCCAGTCTAGTGCTGGGATTGTTTTCATGAGATAATCTCCAGCTGTCTAAACTGATTGGGAATGCAGCAGGGGGTTGGGGCGGGGCGGAAAGCGAGTTTCAGCTTTGGTGGCGTGATCAGAAAGTTTCCATGCACTGAGGCCTGGACAGGCATATCCCACCCCAATGGCTCACCATAAGGTTCAGACTTCATGCCAGATCCCTGTCCCCAGGTCCCAGCCCAGTGCTTTAACCACAGCACCAGTCCATCCTGCGTCTCACACCTGTCTTATCCACAAGGCAGCTGGATCCCAGCCAGGCGAGGGCGCCCCCTGTTGGTACGTGTAAGATTTTTCCATCCTCATCTCTCCAGATCCGTAACCTTCAAGCGAAGCCCTCAGCCGTTCTCTTGTGCCCGGCGTGTTTCTTTGCTTCCCTTCTGCTTGGCACCGTGGCCCCTCTTTAGCGGGCACTGGAGAAGATTGCAGAATGATATATACAGTATGAAACGCTTTCTTGCCCGGCAGATGCCTCTCCCTCTCAGCGTCTCTCTCGCACGCGCTCAGCGAAGCAGCGAGCGCTGATCTCTTGTGACAGCTGCTCCCGGGGCTGGCTGTGGGTGGGGTTGTGATCAGGGGGGG